ATATGCTCTGCTAGATTTGGTGTACGTAAACTTTTAGTAGGCAGATGTCGTTAAGGTTCTGCAATACAGTTTTCTACATTGGAGCATGCTGTAAGAAAATTAATGTAATGTTAGTTTGAAAATCGCTATCCATCATGACCCTAATTCCAATAATCATAGTTTTTGCTTTTCAGATGGCTGCTGCCAGCTTACATGGTTTATAATTTGCTTCTGTTTAACTGCTTTTCATTGAACCTGAAAATGACGTTTTTCTAGGCTCTCTGGGAAGAGTTGAAATACTGGCCCTGGTCCTATCTCTACAACAGACCAGTGGTAGAAAGCCATTTATACTTATAGAATCTCAGTTTCCTCATTTTAAAGATGGGAGTATTAGCCAGGCATGGTGGCATGTGCTTGTAATCCCAGCCACTCAGGAGGCTGAGGCAGGAATATCACTTGAGCCCAGGAGCTCAAGGTGGCTGGCAGTGAGCTATGGTTGCACCACTGTGCTCCAGGTTGGGTCACAGAGTAAGACCCTGTCTCTTTAAAAAAAGGAGGGAAGAGGCATGGATATCTGTGCCGCACATTGCAGTGTCTTCCTAAGAGCCAGTTGCTCTAATGGATATGCTTGTGTGTTGTCACTTGTCGAGCTGTAAATGTTAGGCTGCTTTTATTGGTTTACACTGATGATCGGCTTTTAAAAGTACAATTGAAGGTCTGTTATTGTTTCATTCGTCCAGGTTGAAGCAAATAATTTATAGTATTTACTTGAAAGAGTGTGTGTTTGAAAACAGACAGGCCCGGGTTTGCAGTGTGGCTTCTGTTTACTAGATGTGAAGCTTTGGACACATGTAACTAGCATCGGTTTTGTTTTTTTGTCTAGAAACTGTGTAATATGTTCCTGACAGGGTTGTTGTAGGGTTGGTAATGAGGGTGAGGTGCTTAATAAACGACGCCTGTTCTGTAAATTTAGATAAAATATGAATTATAAGAGCAGTTATTTAAATACATGCAGTTATGGTGCATTAGTCCATTTTTATACTTCTGTGAAACACTAGACTGGGTAATTATTATAAAGATAAAAGGGTTTAATGGACTCACAGTTCCACATGGCTGGGGAGGCCTCACAATCATGGTGGAAGGCAAAGGAGGAGCACAGACACATATTACATGGAGGCCCGTAAGAACCGTGCAGGGGAACTGCCCTTTATAAAACCAGCAGATCTCTTTTGAGACTTACTCACTATCACGAGAACAGCACAGGAATAACCCGCCCCCATGGTTCAGTTACCCTCCCACTGGGCCCCTCCCATGACACATGAGGATTATGGGAGCTGTAGCTCAAGATGAGATTTGAGTGGGGATCCATATGGTATGGGGAACCATATCATATGGTCTCTCCCTAATTTTCTTTTTTCTTTTCTTTATTTTTTTTTTTGAGACAAAGTCTCACTCTGTCACCCAGGCTGGAGTGCAGTGGTGCCATCTCTGCTCACTGCAAGCTCTATCTCCTAGTTTCACGCCGTTCTCCTGCCTTAGCCTCCCGAGTAGCTGGGACTATAGGTGCCCGCCACCACGCCTGGCTAATTTTTTGTATTTTTAGTAGAGATAGGGTTTCACCGTGTTAGCCAGGATGGCCTCCATCTCCTGACCTCGTGATCCGCCCGCCTCGGCTTCCCAAAGTGCTGGGATTACAGGTGTGAGCCACCATGCCCGGCCCCTAATTTTCTTTTCGGTACAACTAATGTTGGTGATATTTGTGCCAAAAAATATTGCTGTTTACATCTGGCCTGCTCAATGATGTGGAGGCGTGGTTGCATCTAGCCCTTGAACAGTTTTCGTCACCTGTAACATATGTATGAAAATGTAGCATTCAACATTAGGGTGGATGTGGGTTCTCCTATTGCAAAGTCTGAAAGCTAGAGAGGTTTTGTACCTGGAAGCTGTATCTTGCATCTTAGGGCTATGTTGCGTTTTAAAAACTTTTGTCTGAGTTAAGATAATCCCAGGCATTAATGACTCTGGAAGGCTTTCTGGAAGGAAAAGCAACCACAAACCATTCTTCTCATGAACAGAATGGCCACAGCCACTGTATATTTGTATGTAGGGATATACATATACATATATTGACTTAGTGTTGAACATTTAGTGATTATTGCTTGTATTGAACCGATTTGTATTAATGACTCAGTGAAACAATTACCTCTTTACTCAGAAACCAGCATTGCTATTAGGTTCTTAAAGTCTGATCCATTAGTTTCATGGATGGGGTGTGAATCAAACTTGACGTTGATTTTTGAAGATTCAGAACTAACTTCCCACTCTATTGAAAGAGTGACAACCACAAGGCTCATTTTAAAGCGTTCAGTCTGCAGTTGACCTCCTCTAGGAGTGGGTAGTGTAGGGGTACAGCTCCCGTAGGGCGTCATCAAAGCCTCAGTGATCAGGCGTCAGTAACAGCCTCCTCTTTGTGGAAGATTTCTGGAAGGTTGGCAAGCACTGTCCTGAAAGAGCTGTGTTCTCTGGTCCCCTGAAGAGCCCAGACCACCCATTCTGTTTATGTGTGTTCAGCTGATCAGCTCCTATGCTCAGTTCAATAACTTCCAGTTCCAGCAGATCTTACCACAAGGACCAGGATTTACCAGGAGAGATTTCCATGGAGGAAAAAAGAAATGAAACTCAGTTAGAGTTCACAACATTTTCAGTGTTAAGATTGATCTTTCTTAAGACACATTAGGACATCTTATATTTTTAATATTTTCATCATTGGTATAGAAATTCTGTAGGAACATTTAGGAGCCAAGAAGAAGAACGTTTTATGCATTTGACTACTGGGAAGTTGGTGAAGCTTTCTTCTTTAACATCTGTTCTCCTTGGCAGCCTATTGAAACAGGCTCCAGTTGAGTCCTGGTCAAGTGAGTAGCTCATTCTCTTGATGGGATAGTGTAGGCAGAGTGGAGAGAACCTACAGGCTGGACTGGGGGATGAGTTGCCATATCTGTGCCCTATCCAGTCGACCATTGTGTATAGCTAAGGTTGACTGAAGCATCTTCGTCACCCCATTTTGTGCCGACTCTTATTTTTCCATAAGGATTCCCAATTTTATTTGTTGTGTTTCTTGTACTTAATCTTACCTAGGATAAACACATCTTCAGGAGATTTCTTTTTGTTCTTTTTTTTTTTGTCTGAGGCTCAGATGTTGGGCACGTTGTTTTATATTGTTAGTCAATTCCTGGTTTTAAGAAGAAATACAGGATTAGCATGAGTGGTAAGAATCCAGGAACAAACTAAATAGCAGGACAAGAATGGACAATTAGGGTGTCTAAGTGTAGGCGATACTTTTTTTTCTTGAACCTTAATATTAATTGAATAAAGTAAATGGGAATAACTGAGTGCATGCTATTCTGGAGGCATCTAAAACATCAATTATGAAACCAGTCAAGAAAACCCCTAGAGTGTTTTCTTAATCTTCCTCCTTCCAAAGTGTTCCTCCTTTAAATCTTGTGTAACACTTCAGTAGCGTGAGTATCTCATACCTGCAGCTACATCTGTAGGTTTGGGAAGAAGCTTTCGTCACTGGGCTGCAAGACTGGAACAAAGCGAGCATGCAGTTGTGTCTGATGTTAGTTGGCTTTCTGACTTGGTGTGTGTAAGTGTTCACTGGCGCACCTGTGTTCATTCAGCAATATTTATTGAGGGCCTACCGTGTGCTCCATGCTGCTCTGGATGCAGAGAGAAGCAAGACAGACAAGCTTGCTCCCCTCTGAAGCTTACCTTGTTAGTGTAGGTGACAGACAGTAAGTAGGAAAAAATACCAATACTATTAGATGGCACTCAGAGGTGGGAAGGAAATAGAGCCAGCAAGAGACTAGAGACTTGGGGGCTGATGAGGGTGGTCAGGGGAGGCTTTGCATGACCTCAGGTTATATGATGGAGTGAACTCTGCAGAGATCTGGAGTGGGGAGTGTTTTCAGAAGTGGGAATAGCAGGTAAGGTCTTGAGGCCTGAAGAAGCAAAGGTGCGAGCAGTCTCAGACCCTGCAAGGCTAGTCGTGGGCAGGGAGGGAGTGTGGCCAGGAGGCCCTAGGAGGCCTGGAAAGAAGGAAGCCCCTGGAGGGTTTGAGAAGGGAGTGAGGTGGTCTGATTTGCACATTAAAAGGATCACTCTGCTGGGTGGGGGACAGACTATAGGAGGATTAAAGGGCCAGCTGGGCAGTGGGCACCTGTGTGTCTCCACTTCCATCTGTGTGTGGCTCCCCTCCCCCAGGGATGGAGGCCTGGACCAGGGTGATCCGTCCAGAAGGGGCACAGCTCTGGCTGAGGGCTTGGCTGCAAAATGGGAGGGAAGGGAGACCAGGAATGACTCCTTGGGTTCTCCTGTATTCACGGTACATTCCTGTGGACAGCAAAGAGTGGAGGTGTGGGAAATACAGGATGGGTGAATGGGAAAAAAACATACCCAGTGTGTATTTAAAATAATGGAAAATGTCTCCTTTGTGGATAGAGTCGCTTAGTCGATGCTGAGATGCGTCTTGTGGAACAGAATTTTTGGGACATTTGCAGGTATGTTACAGTTCCAGGGCAATTAGCAGTTGTTATCCTACTGAAGTGTATGTTCTTTGAAGGCAGGGTCCCTATGATTCATCTTAGTACCTAGATTATGCCTTAGAGATAAAGGCTTAGGTCAATGTTTGGTTTGAATCGAAAGGTTCGATTATCTGCAGAGTTGATTTGATTTGATTATGTACGGAGATGTTGGGAGTGGGGTAAGTTCTGAGAGGCCACAGTGAATGAGCCAGTTTATTAGCTTCTGGTTACATAAGATTTGAACAGATACTCAGTTATATTATCTCGTGCAAATTTCCAGAGGTTCTGCTGCCTGTCACACAGGCGTGGCCATGAGCTGATGGGTAAGCATGCAGGTTTTCCATATTTAGTATTGAGGAGCGGGGATGAAGGAGAGACACACCATCCTTTTTTGATGTACTTGGCTCATAAATCTTCTCTGTCTGGTTTGCATAGGATGAGTTAGATGAACTCCGTGCTGAGATGGAAGAGATGAGAGACAGTTATTTAGAGGAAGATGTTTACCAGCTGCAGGAACTTCGGCGAGAACTGGACCGTGCTAATAAAAACTGCCGAATCCTGCAGTACCGTCTTCGGAAAGCTGAGCAGAAAAGCCTGAAAGTGGCTGAGACAGGTCAGGTGGATGGCGAGCTTATTCGAAGCCTGGAGCAGGACTTGAAGGTGAGTGAGAGGGGTGGTGCGTGCACCCCCGAGGCTGCAGGACTGGCTGGCCACGTGCACATTGCCCTGGTGTTTTTTCCCTGCTGTGTCTGTCTCTACAGATTGCAGCAGAAACAGTCTTGGTTTGCTTTATGGCTTATAGAGTGTGTGTAGTTGTGTGACTTTGACAGCCCAAGGTTTAAATTTGTCATGATGTTAACTTTAAAAAAATGATAATAATCTGTGATAACAAAGAATTAATACATGCCAATGGGTCTGACAATTGGATAGAAATTCTACAGAAACTCTGAAAGATATGAAATTTTAAAAAAAAAAATCTATTTAAAAAAAAATCTATTATCGGTGTAGTCAAAGGCCACTCGTAAAAGTTGACCATATCACTTCACATTTTTTATTGTTATTTAGGTTTCTAGGATGCAGAAATCCTGACATTCCCATAACCCAAGCGAGACTTGTGTAGTGAGGATCTAACGCCAGGAGAAATCATCACAAATTGTCTAAGGTGTCTTTGAGAACCACTGGGAGAAGTGGGAATAATGGGAAGAAATCCCAGACTTTATGCCATTGTCTCTCCGTGGGCAGTGAGGCCCTCATGACCTGATTATCAAATCATTTATCTAGAGATGAATTATGCATACTGTTCTCTTTATTACCAGAGTACTTGTGAAATCTCATCTAGCCTTTCAGTGTGATAACAGGAAAAGAACCTCTGTAATTCTACCAAAGTTATAAACCACTAACAAAATGTCATTCAGTGTAATAAAGGGTGATTTATATTCCTCTTACAAGGCCTCTTTCCTCATTTGCTTTTAGAAAGTAAACATGTTTAACTGCTTTGCTCATTCAAATGGTTTACCATACCAGAGCCACAGTACAAAATTTAAAACTTGACTACATTGAACATCTTAAGCATGCAGCATTTTTTTTTTTATTATTTTAGACACAGGATCTTGCTCTGTCACTCAGGCTGGAGTGCAGAGGCACCATCATAGCTCACTGTTACCTCAAACTCCCTGGGCTCAAGCGACCCTCCCATCTTCACCTCCCGAGTAGCTGGGACTATAGGCACCACCATGCCTGGATTATTTTTTATTTTTATATTTTTTTTAGAGACAGGGTCTCACTGTGGTTCCCAGGCTGGGCTCAAACTCCTGACCTCAAGTGATTCTCCTTTCTTTGCCTCCCAAAGTGCTGGGATTACAGGCAACTTATTTGTTTTGTTAGCAGGTGGGTTCGGTATTACTTTAGTGAATAGAAATGTTTATTTGTTTGCTATTATTTAAATTTCTCGCTTAAAGCCCGTGAGCCTGGGCAGAATTGGCATTCGTGGTGACCATCTATGGGGGAGGAGGGTTATCCAAAGTGGGCTTTAAAAACTATTTATTTTAAAGCCATTTAACTTTAGCAGTTGGGGGGGTTGTATACCAACTTCAGTGACAGTAATGTTAGCACGTTCTGATAATGCACCACTATCAGACCAGCCGGAGTGGCCTTTTAGTCCAGATGTTGATTTCATTTTAAACGAATCTCCTCCTCCTTTTAAAAATAGGTCGGTTATGTACTGCTAGGGTCTTTGCTATGTGGTGCAATATCATATTAATGATTTTGCCTCTGACGTTGTCTGATAGTACCCTTAGCACACACAAAGCCTCATATCCTGATAACGATCTCTGTGGGTCGATGCAGGTAGCCAAAGATGTATCTGTCAGATTGCACCACGAACTGAAGACGGTGGAGGAAAAGCGCGCGAAAGCTGAGGATGAAAACGAAACTCTCCGACAGCAGATGATTGAAGTGGAAATATCCAAACAGGCCCTCCAGAATGAGCTGGAGAGACTGAAAGAGGTAATCCAGAACCGTGGGGCTCCTGCCCCTTTGGATTTAATAAGGAGGAGCTTGGAACTCCACGTGCCCCCTTCTCGTTGTGGTCGAAAGCCGGGGTTGGCAAACCGTGGCCTGTTTGGCTCAGAAGTTAGGTTGTTTTTACATTTTTTTCCTAGCATAGTAAACAAACAAGCAAACAAGCAAAACTCGCAGGAAAGAAAGCCCCCAAAAGTAAAGAAGGCTATGGATTCAATACTGTGTGATGCTTGCAAAGCCTAAAATATTTACTATCTGGCCCTTTATAGAAAAGGCTTATTGGGACCTGGTCTAAAGCTAGTTTTTGTAATTACCACTCAGATGAGCTGACCATTAATTCCTTTGATGTGTCCAAGTGGAGGCTATTATTGCTAGAATACAGAATTAAGAAGGAGCTTTTTTCCCCAGAGTCTTCTCCAGTGAACTGGAAAGTATGTTATGGTTGTCTATGAAAGCTGTGTAAACAGACAATGTATGTATGCCACCTATGTAGCTAAAATGAGTTAAATATAGACATTTTTAAAGTTTAGGGAGTGATTTTTCTAGCAAAATAGTCTGGAAAATGAATTTTTTTTTCTCATGTGCATACAGCAATGCGAATCCTGTTTTGTTATTGACTTCCATTATAAGATTAAAACAGAGTGTTTTCTTGGAAAATGTCCTGCATGTGTTGAAATTAAAAGCCTTTGGCGAAGGCTTTAAGCTTACAGTGAATTCTGGCACGTTACCTGCACCTGCCAACAGCCTTGCTTAGCGGCTCATTTTTCCTTTGGAAAAGTTTCCTGATTCACACGGTTCTTCATTATCCTTGCTCCCTCCCATCCGCCGCACCTGGTTCTGGCCCGAAAGGCTCTGGGTGGAGTTGTGCGTGTGTGGTGCAAGCCCTGCTCTCAGGGCGCCTCCATTTCAATCAGGTGCATAGATAATAAACAAATCACAGCAAAGTAGCAGGCGTGCCCCTCTCTGCTTCTGCCCCCACCCCTCTGCTCACAGCTGCCTTGGCCTCCCTGCTCTTCGCACACATATCCTCAGGGAAGGTTCTTTCTCCAGGCACTCACCTGTGGCTCATTCCCTTATCTCTTTCGGGTCCTGAGATTCACTCAGCCCCTCCCCTCAACACTGGTGAAATTTGTCCCCATCTCCACCCTGGCCAGCCCTGTTCACCTTCCCATCTGACAGATGTATTCTGGGACATCATTTGTCTATTGTCACCGCTTATCTGACAATGCTATGTTTTCTTTCTCTGTCTTTCATCCCTGCCCTCCTTTACTGGTGCCCCTTCGGATCACAAGCTCTGTGGGGCAGGGACAGGGGCTTTGTCTGTCTGGCTTACTGTGGGGCCCTCATGCCTGGAACATGCTGGGTGGAGGAATGAATGAGGGAGCAGAGCATAGAGCTGTGTGATCAGAGCGTGCCTGGGAGATGAGGTGGCCTCCCAGAGGAAGAGGTTAGCTTCTGGGAGCTTGCTTTCGTCACAGGTAACCCTCACCCCTTAACTTACACTTGTATCTGCCCCCAGGACTCCAGGAATTTGTCCTCTAACTGAGGAGCTCTGCCTCAATTAAAGTACCAGTTGCTGGTACTTTACTTCCCTCCCATTCCTTTGTTCTAAGTTTGCTGGAATAATTTCCTTTCTCAGTTTGAGCCTGACCTTAACAGTTAGAGGGTAGAGAAAATAGTTTACAGTTGACTCTGGAACAACGTGGGGTTGGGGGGCATGGGGGTCACCTGCTGTGCAGTTGAAAATCTGTGCATGTCTTGTAGTCCTAGAGACAGGGAGGCAGAGGCGAGAGGATTGCTTGTGCCCAGGACTTTGAGGCTGGCTTGGGCAACACAGCAAGACCCTGTTTCTTAAAGAAAAAAAGAGAAAATAATGTATATAGCTTTTGACTGCCCCAAAACTTAACTAATAATAGCCTACTGTAGACTGGAAGCCTTACTGATATAAAATAACCAATCAACACATACTGTGTATGTTGTATGTATTATGTACTATATTCTTACAATAAAGCTAGAGAAAAGAAAACGTTGTTAAAATCAGAAGGAAGAGAAAATATATTTATTATTCATTAAGTGGAAATGGACCACCGTAGAAGTAAGTCTTCATGCTCATAGTCTTCACATTGAGTAGATAGAGGAGGAAGAGGAGGGTTTGGTCGTGCTGTCTTGCGTGGCATAGGTAGAAGATTTGAGTGTAAGTGGACCTTCACAGTTCAAACGTACGTTGTTCAAGAGTCAACCATAGAAGTATATTTTATAAAATTTTATATGTGTATACATTTGTGTATAAATATATAAACATATAAATCTATATTTTAAGTAGATGAAGACTCTTTTGCATACATTTAAATGGATTTGTGTAGGACTTGGCATCTCTTTGGAGGAAGAAACGATTATTGTTGCTCTTGACATACAAAAGCAAGGCCAGGGTGAGACAAAGATCTTCAGAGAGCCTGATGCTGGCTCAGGGTGGATGTGAGGAGAGAATGGAGAGGGATCAGCCCTCCCTTTGTAGGTTAGAATTACTGAGAGGAATTGTTCAGTTAGGATGAAATAAGTATTTTACTTCCAGAATTGCAGTCAGCGTGGTGGGACCGTATATTTACACCAAACTTCTAAATGAATCATAAAACTGACAGGAGTCCCAGGAGGGTTAGATGCTGGTAGATTAAACTGGAAGCAGAGAACGATGGCATCTCGTGATACAAGGTTCAAAGGTGGTGGAGGAAATATTTATTGGAAAATGAGAATGGGTTCTTTTTACAAAAGCCAGTACAAACAGGCTAAGCTTTGCTCTGGGGTGAGGGTAATATTTTTTCTATCCTGAGCCTCACTTTTTGTTGTTCACCCCTGGAGTTTTGTAAATGGATGTGTGACCTCCTGAAAACGGCAAGGACAGTTCATGGGTTGTGTGTCTGAGCAGCAGCAGTTGTCGCAGGTGTGTGTGTATCCCCTCGGCCTCAGGGGTCTGTGAGACAGCATCTCCGTGCTTTTTTTCCTCTGGAGCCACCACTCCCTTCTCTCTGAAGCTCTAGACTGTTTTCAGCTGCCTGGTGGACATCTCCAATATGAGTTTTTCCTAGCACTGTAGACTCTGTCCAGAAGAAACTCATCGCCCCTTGCGCCACCCTGCACCTTCTCTGTCTCCTATTTGTGTAACGGTCCCTGAGTCCTTTCAGTCCCCAAGGCTGACAATGGTGTTACCCTTAACCCTCTTCTCCCTTCTTCAGCTGCTTGCTCAGTGCTGTAGGTTCGGCTTTTGCAGGCTTTGGACATTTCTTTCTCACTGATACTTGATAGAACGTGAATGAACCTTGAAAATCTGCTAAGTAACAGAAGTCAGACATACTGTTTGATTCCATTGATAAGAAATATCCAGAGTAGATGAATTCATATAGACGGAAAACAGATTCGTGGTTTCCAGGGGCTGGGCAGAGGGGAGAAGTGGAACCAACTGCGTAATGGGCAGGCGGTTTCCTTTTGGGGTGATGAAAATGTTTTAGAACGAGATAGATGTGGTGGCTGCACAACCCGTGAATGTACTAAATGCCACTGAGTTGTGCCCTTGAAAATGGCTTGTTTTCTGTTACGTGAATTTTAACCTCAGCACTTTGGGAGGCTGAGGTGGGTGGATCACCTGAGGTCAGGAGTTCGAGACCAGCCTGGCTAACATGATGAAATCCTGTTTCTACTAAAAATACAAAAATTAACCAGGCGTGGTGGCACGCACCTGTAATCCCAGCTACTTGGGAGGCTGAGGCAGGAGAATCGCTTGAACCCAGCAGGCCGAGGTTGCAGTGAGCCGAGATCATGCCATTGCACTCCAACTTGGGCAACAAGAGCGAAACTCCATCTCAAAAAAAAAAAAAGAAAAAAAAAGATTTTTCTTTCTCCAGCCTATCCATACTTTTACCAGTCCCCCACCTCAGACGAGTATTTGAGAGCTGACAGTGTGGGCTGACCACGCACGTTGAATATATACACGATTTCTAGTCCTTTCCTTTTCTCGCTGCATGCCAAAATTCTGACCATCTCACTCTGCTTAGACAGACAGACCTGCCTTGGCTTGTCTAACTCTTTCGCATGACACAGCAGCCTATTACCCTCTGACCTATCCCTGGCGCACTGTTGGGTTTGCCACTCCAGGGCTGTAGACGTTGGCCTGAAAT